ATACTTATTAGGGAGAACCGTTCATTTTCTGGATTTTTTTTTCTACTTGTAAATGAACAACTGTGTATCTCAAGTTCTATTTGCTCTAAGTAATTCTGTAATAAGAAATTAAATCAGGATTTAAATATCCTAATATAGTGGTACCGATACTATACAGTTGAATGATAACAACCTACTAGTTCGTTTAAACAAACTAATATTTATATAGAATTTCCATTGTCTATATACAAGTTTATATTATGAATTAAAGAACACATGTATACATAAAGCTACTTCTATCTAGTTTGTGTGGAAAGGAAACAGGCATATCTCAGTAATACTTTGTCCCCTAATTAGAATATGTTACCAGGAGTCTAGGAGCGTGAATTAGTGTTGTGTTTGAAGAATTTAAATTCATCATAATATTTGTAGTATGCATTTTCAGTGATTTTTCAGTTTAAAAATGATCTATTAATTTTAAAGTAACCGGACATAACACACAACTCTGAATTGTGGGGAAAGGGCAGATCAAGCTGAGAGAGAGGGTCAGTTACTCTCACTAAAGAACAAATCCAAGAGTCTGGGTAACTAAGCATGGAGCGGCAGTCTCTTCAAATGTGAGTCTGACCATGCCACAGTTTGTGAGTTATTTCTGGGTGTCCTTGGGAGACGATTTAATGTTATCCAGTGTCTTCTGATGAAACTAAATTCACCCTTGATACTTCCCACTTGAGCAAGTCAGCTTCTTAATACATGGATGTATTTCTCTGTAGGTCTCATAGGTTACACAATATTCGTTCTGAGAGTTTTAGTAAGCGAATCCACACCAACTGTGGGTTACCTTTGCTACATAAGGCGGATGACTTTGAACCAGCCTTTTCTTTAAATGCACTCTTATCGATCGCCTCCATATTCTTGGACACGGTGAACTGCCAATAAGTGTTGGGTTTAGAAACATCGCTTGAGATTCACTTACAAATTGCCATTAATATTGAACGTTTTGTAATATATGTTGAAAGATAGGGCAGGGTATCCATAATAGCATCACCTGAAAATTTAGTATGTGGTACACTTCAAAATTAAGTAAGAACAAAATGAAAGAATTTATTGCCCATAAGAAAGGACGTTCACTTATAAGGGCTACATGATACTTTATGGATAACATATGGAACACCGCCCACGGGTGTGTTTTTGAGGAGGTGACGAGGAAGGGATGCATTGTGACTGGAATGTGGAAAGGTAAAACCTACACAGTAGAAGACGTTTATAAACTTACTGTTTTCAAGCACAGATAGCTGTTGACTTGCTCACGATGATCAGCTTTGGTTCTCCTCTCACTGATGACAAAAACAGAAAAAGGACTTAAGTGGCATCATTGAGGGATTTAATTTACTTACAGTACATGGAATTCCTAGTGATCCGTGACATTTTTAAAAGCAGTTTTATCATGCGTAGTTTTTTTTTCCCAATAGCATGTGATCTGTTTAAATTAGTACTTGAGAAGTTTCTGTTCATCCTGTATTTTTTGTTTCAAAACTGAATGGAGGAAATGAATTTTATTGTTTTGTCAAAAACAAAAAGCCCACAAAATACATTTTCAGTTTAATTTATGGTTCAACTTTTCAATTTGAAATAAAGGTAGATTATTTTTAATTTTCCTCATGGACTATTTCAAACAACGCTGACAGAATAATAGACCTCCAAGGACTCTTTTCTTAAAAGATTTTTTAAAAAAAAATGTAACACTTTTATTATGGTATAATTCCTATACAGTAAATTACACATATTTGAGATGAACAATTTGATGAGTTTTGATAGATGTAGACACCCATGAAACCACCACCACAATCAAGATAGCTAGCATTTCCATCACTCCCCAAGAGGTGCAAATCTGAAATTCCCAATTTATCCCTTCCCACCCCTGTTACCCCGGGTAACCATACTCTTACGCCAGCTTTATTAATGATGGATCAGAGGACTCTTATTTTGTCTCTGTCCTTCTGTGTTCACAATTGGTTCAAAGTGAATACCTGACGTCATGTTATTTCATCTGTGAATATTTCAGTTTGTGTTTTGAAAGAACAGTTCTCTCAATTTAAATATAACCACAATATCATTATCATATGCAAACAAAGTAACAGGAATTCGTTACTAGCATCACCTATTTTTTTTACACAGTTTGAGGATAAAAATGAGCTCCATATATTGCAATTGGTTAATATATCCCTTATGCCTTTTATAAGGTAGAGTATCCCACAGTCTGGATTTTGATGATTGCAACACTATGGCATATTACTCAGTGCTGTACATTCCTTGTGAAAGGGTAATTAGAGCCAGACACTTAAGAGAGTCATCTTCACTTTTTGGCGTGAATACGGCATCGGTGGTGGTGGAGATCCCACTCGAAGACACAGGACTTCTGGCCTCTCTCTGCGTTGTCGGCAGCAGTGAAAGGCTGTTGCCTCGATTCATTCATTCGCCAGGTGTTACAAGACGTCGTAATTCTACGTCTCTATCCGTTCATCGTTTATTAGCTGGAGTCTTTCCAAAAAGAAAAACCTCCCTTAATTAACTAGTATCCTGAGTACTGTTCATACAGGAAGGGCAGGGAAATGCTTATTTCTTTTCCTTTATTGAGCAGTTTTCAGAATAATAACTTGCCTCCTTAGTGTCCTTCAAAGGCAGTCAAATATTTTTTAAAATGTCATTATCAACTTATGGATTTAAAAAAAAGGTGTGTATTTCAGCCTTTTGCAGTTATTTTTCTTATTGGTATTCAGATGGCCTCATCTTTATTTAAGATGAGTCTCGTCAAATTGGGTCCTGAGTCTGGACACCACATGATGCTTTGGGAGAGTTTCCCTGTTTTGTGGTATCACAGAATGTTCTAGGCTCATCTTACAAACTTTCGGCCAATATCGATCAATCAGAATTTTAATGATGTTTTCCAGGTTCAGAGAATTTTCAACAATATTTCAACAATAACTTATGCACAGACTTTTTTGCTATGGTAAATAGATTTAAATAAAGTTTCATACCTGAATAAAGCTTATAGTGATTACATTAGGTAAGTCCCACATTGTTACAGGTGAAAAGGGATCGGTCAATATTCCTTTGGAAGAGATGCAGGTCTTTCTGGAATAAGGAAGGAATGTGATGGGTCCTGAATTCTTTTTGGAGTCTTCATTTTTTTAAATTTAGTTTCTTTTATTTTTTTAAATTGAAGTATAGTTGATTTACAATGTGGAGCCTTGATTTTTGTTGTTCATTAAGCTACTGTTGGAAACGATGAATTTGGGTTAGCTGTGAACAGCAAAAGCGATGTGGGTGACAAGTTTATCCACCAGTATTCCAAGTGTTAAGCTGCAGAATTCACTTTAGGAAATACGTTCCCAAGTGGTTTTCCCTCTCAGTCCTACCTATGAGGTAATGTATGAGCAGTTGTTATCGAAAGTAAGCTGATGTGCCCACTGCACCATGAGACCAAATAAACAGACACATCAGTATGGAGCAGATAAAGGTTTACTGCAGGACCAAGCAAGGATGGGGGTCTCGTCCCCAAGAAAACCGCAAACTCCTCGAAGGGTTTCAACAAAGCCTATTTAAAGACAAGTAAGGGAGGGGGTCACAGGATGCGTGATCAGCTTGTGCACAACCCTATGATTGGTTGATATCAAGGGAACAGGGCGGTCAACACCATCAACCCCCAGCCGCCAGAAGGTCTGGGGGCCACATGCCCTCCATCATCAAGCAGTTAATTTCTTCCCTTTGGTGGTGGTTGTAGCATCTGAAACACTCAGGAAATATACAGAAGATACCACTATGTGGGTCCTTCAGAGAGGAGCTACAGCAGAGGACATGGGGTAGGGGTCTGTCCCTGGAAGTCTCCCCCAGGGTCCTGCTCGGTTACACAATTAAAAATAAAAGTACAATTTTCTAAGTCATATGATGCTGTCAGCAAAGTTACTAAGGAATAGTAAAACGGTCTCACGTTTGGAAGATTCCAGTCTGTGCTGGAAAATGAACCCCTACTATCTGGTTAACAAGTGAATGTCTCTACAGGATTCCTACAGGATTAGTCCCAATAACAAAAAATGATATAGCAGAAGGCTGAGGAAAGAAAAATGACAACTGCTGACTAGCAAACAGTCAGAGGAAATCAGGCAGCTTTGGGGATTATCGGCTTTTATGCTCACATCAACCTGTGACGTTTCAGCTCACAGAGCATGTACTCAGCCTCCTCAGGGTCATGACATGAAATGACACACTGTCATACATAAAGAAGCCATCTTTTCCATTCTATATGAGAAAGACATTTTCGTAATGTCTTTTGTGTTCATTACCACCAGAGGTATCAGGGACGTCATGCTTTAGTAATATTCAAGAGGACAGCTGAGATGGCCGAGAGGAGGGGCTGCGGTTTCCCCCTAAACTGTGACTCTTTTGGTCAAAACAGCAGTGGTTACATGAAAGAGTTCCTGATGTGAAGTGGGAATAAATAGATGATCAAGTGCGTGGCTGTAGCTTTTTAGAGGAGTCAGCATCCCCTTAGTTACACAAAAATACCAGCCTTAAAAACATATTTAAGACAGATATCATATGATACCACTTATATGTGGAATCTAAAAAAATTGATACAAATTCTATTTGCAAACCAGAAACAGACTCACAGACATAGCAAACAAACTATGGTTATCAAGGGGGAAAGGGAGGGAGGGATAAATTAGGAGTTTGGGATTTACAGATACACACTACTGTATATAAAATAGATAAACAACAAGGACCTACGGTATAGCACAGGGAACTATATTAAGTTTTTTGTAATAACAGATAATACAAAAGAATATTAAAAAATGTATATGTATGTATATGTATAAATGAACTGCTTTGCCATACAGCTGAAACTAACATTGTAAACCAACTACACTTCAATTTAAAACAAAAAAAACCCATCTGCTGGCCGTCAGTGTCACCACGGGCTCTGAGTTGCTCAGTGGGGCTCCCTGTCTGTGCCCTCCCAGGTTTATCGACCCTCCAAGCCGTGCTGGACTCCGCAGCCGAGAAGAAGTGGCAGGTGACCGCCATCAACGTGGGGAACATCAACAATGACAGGAAGGACGAGACGTACCGGTCGCTGTTCCAGGACCTGGAGCTAAAGAAGGAGCGGCGTGTCATCCTGGACTGCGAACGGGATAAAGTCAACGACATCGTGGACCAGGTCTGTTGTCCTCTGTTTCCCAGGGGCAGCGACGGAGCCCATGCGTGCAGCGTCCGCGTCTGCGGTGGGTGTCGGGGTGAGCGGTTTCCACTTCGCGGTTCATGCAGGACACAGCCGAGACCATCCGTTAAATCGCCTCTGGCTTCAGGTGGCGACGGCCAGTGGCCTTCAGTAACGTGGGCACATCCCACGAATGACGGCATGTCCTCAGTACAGAATTCCTGACTCCTGTTTTGTGTGACAAATGTCCTAGACTTTGCGACTTTAAATTGGAAATTTAAATTGTAATCCCTTTGAACTTTTTAGAAATAAAGAAATAGACACGTTGTTAAGTGAAAATAAGTCTGGGTCCTAAGAGAAAATTGAGTATTTCATGAATTCTTTGGCAATGTAGGGAGTGCTTCCAGCGTTAGAGTAAGGTTTGGTGTGCTAAATCTGTATTGTTGTCTGAATGGCTTTATGGCTTCTGAAAAAGCATGTATTTATTTTTCCAAGAAGTAATTGTTTCCTCCTACTAGTGGGTTTTGTATCATTATAAAACCATTAATCTCGGAAAATAAAATAAATAGGAGAGGTGGTCTTTTCTACTTGAGAAGTAAATTGGATGCATTAATTTGCAATGTTTTCCAGAGTAACATGACACCGGACATGAAGGTGCTTCATCTGGGCTCGGCATCTCGCCTCATTTCTGTCTAAGGTCTTTCAGGACGGGAGAGTCATGCAGTAACATCTGAGTAATAGAAATAAAATCCAGAATGTTACATAGATGGCGTGAGGGACCAGGGATAGTGGGGGACCAGGGTTGTGATTTACTGACCAAAGTCTCCTTCGCTGGATGTCTACTTCTTTTCCCAGCTGAAAATGTAGTATTTTCCTTGGAATAATTATATATAAATATGTTATATATTTATCGATGTTATTTACATCTATAAATGTATGTATATAAAATTATTCCTTGGAATAATATAGGATTGGAAGAAAAAATACGCAGTTAAGTGTGCATTTCTTGGCCTTTCTAGGCTTTGAGGAAAAACTTAGATTCATTAATCAGTGAGACACAAAGCATTTTGCAAACATAAATGTGGATGACCCCTTAATTAATATAATAGTATGATATAATACGGAGCCTCAGACACACCAAATGGATCCTTCATGAAATATTGAATAACGGTATGAGACTAGCTTGTTAAGAGAAAGAAGTAAATGTGTGTCAGAGAGGTGAACACTTCAGTAGAAACATCTTGATTCTTGTCTCCGGAGATGAAGTTGGGATTATTTTTAACCTGAAGGCCTCTTGTTCAGATATGACCCTCAACAATGCGTTTGAATGTCAGAGGAGAGTCTCATTAAAACAGGTTTTGAATAATAGTCGTTAGTCTCTGGTTTTAAACATTTAGGTATTCATGACTCATCATAATACATGGTGACGGTCCATGAAAATAATTCTTTCCCAAACTGGAAGATACAATAGGAGAAACTGGGAATATACGGAATGATGTGTTTTGAAACACACATGTGATGATGATTAAATACATGTCCATGTGGACAGCCATTCAAAATGTACACAGGGTTTTGCCCATGTGTGTTATTTGTATTTTCAAAAGACAATCTCGAACGTGTTAAATGAGTGTGTGTGGGTGTTTGCACCCCATGAACTCATGATTTAGGGGAAGGAAAACATACATACATAATAAATTCTGCAGTGTTACAGGTCACAATGCAGTGTGGTCTAAGAGCACCGAGGAGGAAGTACCTGCTTAACAGGGTGGGAAGATTTATGAGAGGTTCACACATGGGTACCATTCGGCTAGTTGGCTTGGGTTCATTCATTTGTTTGTTCAGTCAGTTTCCCTGAGTGTCTAATGTTTGCCAGACATTGAACAGAACAGGCATTCCCCATCAAGGTAAATATTCATGATGTGTTACAGTTACGTTAATATGCAATAATAACAGTATAGCCTCTGCATGAACAGAACAGAACGTTATAAGAAAAAAACTAGAAAAAAAATTAGATTGGGAGGTCATGCAAGGCCTTCAAGGAATAAAGTTTACCAGGGAAAAAAGTGGGTTTGAGGTACATTTCCAGAAAAGGAAGCACTGTTTACTTATTCAATCTGTCAACACTTGCAGGAGAACAGAGATGAGATGAAACTTTATTTCCATCATAGCTTAAAGTTAGAAATAGAAGTAAACTTTGTCGGTCTGTGAGTATTTTACAATTCGATAAAACCTTGGAGGCACGCACTTCTAGCTGTGATTAGTGGGGAAAAGGACTCAGACACCAAAAACATTTAGAAATTAACATCAGTTTACTATTGTTATTGACATACTAATGTGTGTATAAAGCAAAGCTGCAGTAAGACGGCTGATGCTAATCCTTCCTGAGAGGTGGACCGGTCAGTTTTCTTATTTCTCCTTTCTCTCAATGAACACTAAACTCAAGTAGGGACTTCTGGTAGCACCGTTTAGACTATGTTTTCTTCTTGATTCCCAGAAGGAAGACGTACATGGTTCAGAAAGTAGAATGAAGAGTAAGCCCACCGGACAGATGTCAGTGGGAACTAGGAAGGACTTAACTGTCTCCGTTCAGCTGATGCTCATTAATATATTTTTCATTCAGAAGGACATCTTTTCTCCAGAATTCTCCCTTCCACACAGAGTGTTCACTTTCTTGGAAAATTTAGTTGTGTTACATAAAATTATGTTTAAAAATAATAGGAGCCTGACTCCCCTCCAGGTAGCTACTGCTTGCTATGAAAGCGACATGGGGTGGAATCTGTCCTGGGATTTTGTCCTTGTTCTTTAACTGAGTGTGGCTTTTGTCTGGGATGAGGCCAGTCAGGGACGTCTTCTTCTCGGAGGTGACATTGGGCTGGGAGTCATTGTGCCTTAAGAGAGAAAGCATCTGGTGGTGAAGAGAACTTCCCAAGCAGAGGAAACAGGATGTACAAAAGCCCCGAGGGGATTGAATGTAGATTTTTTTGTGTGCACAAAGAAACTGGAAGAGGGCTGTGTGTCTCTAGGGTAGAGTGTGAAAAGGTGAGCCTGGAGAGGTCTGTGAGGTCATTGGACTTTGCACCATTTGAAGAATTTTGTTTCTTATGCTAGAAAATATAAATGGGAAGCCACCAAAACAGTTAAATAAGGAAAGTGAGCTGAGGTTTTTGAATTTTCAATGGCATTGAATGCTCTGCCTTGGCGTGACTGTTCTCTTAAAAATAGAAATTACACTTGAGTGTCTAAGTACCAGGACCACTGCATGGCCGTGTCACTTCCTTCGTTCCCTATGTAAGTGAGAGAGCTCAGTCAAGAGTCCAGGTGATTCCATAACATCCAGAACCGTGGTGGGCGTTCCCGCAGGACAGCTTGTTCTGTGATGTGTTTATCTCGCCATGGATTTTTGACCCCGATTTGTGGAGAAAAACTAGCTTCTCTGATATTTTGCTTCCTCAAACTGGAAATAACGATGTTTCATTTGAAATAGTCTATAAGTATTTCAAGATTCTTCAGACTGGAATATTACTCTCTAGATCTATGTAAGAATTCTGTTATAGGATTATTAATAGTCTTTTAAGATTTATGTACTACTATAAACTCTATGTGTGTTTGTCTTGGAAGGCAGATTGTGAATATAAAACTAGTTTCAGCTACGTTTCACTGAAAAGAAAAAAGTAGCTTTAGTAAGAATATAATTATGACTTAGGGATTCACCAAGTTTTTGGTTTTACATTTTTTTAAATCTTGTGGCCTTATTTTCACTATTATCAAAACCAAGGTACTTATTTTTGTTTAGTTATTGGCTTTTTGAAAGGTAACATTTATAAAGCACTAAAATGTGTGGTAACTTTTTTCTGAAGGAAATGTTCTCTGAATTCGATAACTATATTTTATCAAATATGACTCATTGTGGACCATCCAGAAACACAGCAGATAAAATCCCATTTTTTTTCTGAATCAGGTCATAACATCAGTAATTTTGCTTTTACCTTATTTACATTTGTTTCTTTATCTTTGTTAGGTTATTACCATTGGAAAACATGTTAAAGGGTACCATTACATCATCGCGAACCTGGTAGGTGAATTAACGATATTTATTGTTTCAATGGAAATGCCTACTTATTAAAAAAAATTAATGGCCAGCATTTACCAGGGGTATTTTAAAAAACATATCTTGACTTTATTGATCAATTTGAAGTGACAGTATTTTTCTGAATTTGTTATGTTTTAGATTTCCTTCCCACTTCATATTTTCTAATCAGTTTTCTATTATTATAAATGATGTGAGAAATGAAAGAACAGTGTTTGACAAGATTTTACATTGTGGTGGAAGGCGTATTTTAATGAAGGGAAAATTTTCAAAACTATATAAAATTTAATTGTCCAAACTTTTCCTTATTTCTCACTGTCCCTTTAATTTATAAATTTTACCCTTTGCCCATTGCTTTAGCGTTCTTAGTGTAGCACTGGAAATGCGCATTTGTGAGAACATGAGCAAAATAAAACCTGTAAATATCCAGAATATTGATATATTATATAGTATTTATTTCTTATTTCCTACCTCTGATATAAGCAACAATGGATAATCAAACTACTACAGCTGGTCACTTTTTCATTGAGAAGGTTGTCAACTTCAGATTACTGAACATCCAAGTGGCAAACTGTATCTCCCTTTCTTAGATAAAAATCAAAGTCAATTTAGATTATCACTGGACATTTTCATTTTCAAAATGATTTTTAGATCAGCTGTAAAATGAGCTTGAGTCTTTACTGTTGCAAAGGTTTATGTTGTTTAAATAAATATGACCCTTTGTAATTGAGGACACCCCCCTGAATCTCAGAAAAAAGGTGTTTAAAGAAAGACAGAAGGAGAGGAGGAGAGTGTATTCTTAATGGAGAAATTTCCTATTTATACAAATGAAGATTTATGTTGTGGTTTCTAGAACATCACAAGACATTATTTATAGTAGTGATGAAGTGATTTAAAACAACCCACAGCCTTACAATGGATAAATACTGTTTTCACTAGAGAGTGGCACCGGTGTGATTAAGAATATTAAGTCTCAGACCAACACGATGTTGGGAGAAGTTAGTTGTTCATGTACAAATTAAAACATCTGTTTGGCAATGAAATGGCCGACTACTATAAAAATTCGTTAGCCCTTACCTTCTAGTATGGCTTGGAGATCTGAAATGACTCCCTACCAGAGAAACAAGAGCTAAAAGAAAGGAAGCTCTACATGCAGCCTCTCCAGAACCACATTCTGTGCAGGGCACAGCCTGGACAGTCAGTCCCTGAGTGAATTGTGCCATTCAATGAACAACATTGAAAGCTGTGATCTTTAAAAATGTCCAGATGGAGAAGATTGTATTGGAACATTGAGAAATAATGACAGAAGGAGGTTCATCAATTTGAGTTGCCATCCGAGGCGGTGAAAAAGGAAGTATGTGGGTGAATGACCACAGTAAAAAGATTTAAAAATCAAAGCAAGTTCTAGCTGCTGCCATGATTCTAGGGAGAAATTTGCCTAATATTTCACCTGAATTTTAAGCTGTGTTTTATCCTCTTCTGAATATTACCCTCACCATATGGAATTTGTAGTGAATTAGTAAGTTCAAAGAGTCTGCAGAGGGCTGCAGTTTCTAAGAGCTTGGAGGGCATTTGAAAATTTCACTGACATTTAAAATTGAGGAAAAGCCACCCCAGGTTGAAGGGCTTTCATCATCCAAACTGGCAATTGAGAGGGTCCTTTCTCCCTGTCCAGGGTCCTTTCTCCCTGTCCAGGGTCCAGTGAGTGATAAAGGAAGTGGTTGTAAAAAATAGAAGAATCCTCAGGTATTCTTGTGGATTCATTTCCTCAGGAATTGGTGGATGCTTGACTAAGCACCCCAACACAGGCTGCAGTTGAGTTCCCGACACAGCATCAGAGGGGATAAAGTGATGAAGAAGTGGTCCTTCCCATATGCACCAAAGCCCTACCATCCACCTCACCTGGCTGCCGGACAGTGACACCCACTCATTGCCCCGCCTGCCTGGGCACACAGAAATTCCCAGAAACGTTTCAGTGTCTTCCTCTTAGACAGCCAAGCACAACCAGGCACTTGAGGACAGTCTTTGCCATGGAGGATGTGATACTAATAAAATAAGTACACAGAAACAGGGCAGGCAGGAACAGGAGGAAAATGTTTCAAATTGTAATAAATATTGGCAGAGAAATAAGAGAAAATACATTATCCATAAGAAAGAAAAAAAGGATGCTGTGAAAAAGAAAAACATCAAGGAATAAGAAAGAACTCTGGGAAGTTAACTTGTTTTTTTTTCTAAAATAACAAGTAAAATTACATGACTTTGAAGGAAAGGTTGAGAAAATCTTCCAGATTATGTAACAAAATGACAATGCAATATAAAATGATGTGTTGGCAGAAATTGTGAGGGACTCAGATATTTAATCTGAGCGTCACAATGTCTTAATAATAAGCATTCTAGAAAGACAGATGGTGAGAACTGGGGAAGGAAATTATCAAAGAAACATTCAGAAAATTTTCCCATCCTGAATGATGCAGATCTGCATATTAAGTATACACAATAATGAAAGAAAAAAGAATCTTTTCATATTTAAAGAAAATATCATGGAATTTCAGAGTTAATAAGGATCTTAAACTTTTCTGACAGGTGGGAAGTGAGAAGGAGTATGAAGTA